GTGAGGCCGCCAGGAGCTAAAGGGAGGTGCTGGGAGGTGGGCCGGGGGCCTTGGGGGCTGGAGGAGGGACAGCCGGGCACAGGGGGGCAGGGAGGACCCCAGCCCGCACCCCCCACCTTGCGCTTGGAGAGGCTGTGCACGAGCAGCCGGCTGTTCCGTCTGCTGGCCCCAGCGTCCTCCCCGGCCTCCACGTCCTCCTCAGCCTGGGGGGGTGGGGGAGGGCAGACAGGGGACAGGTGAGCCCAGCACCAGGCAGGCGGGTGGGCAGGCAGCTTCTCCAGGGAGCCAGGCGGCCTTCCTGGAGGAGGGGGCTGAGGGAGGGGGTAGCAGGTGAGCTGGCTGGCCCCTTCCTGGGGGGCTGCCTGACACTCATTACGTGCCCCGTTCGCAGGTGGCGGCCACGTAACCAATGCCGTCTGGGGGGGGACAGCCCTCAGGGAAGCTGGCTTATGTGACCCCCAGGGCAGCCCCCCACAGCGGCTCTGCTCACCTCGGTGAACCCGGCTCCACAGGACTGAGCCGCACTGTTGACAGGGCCCCCTCCCTGCCAGGCCCCTCCCCAGGCACAGCTGGCCCTTCCCTCCCGAAGCTCACGCACAGGCCCAGCGCTCCTGGGAGCCTGTGCCAGCGTCCGGAGCCCCTGGCCCCCTCCAGAGGCTGACAGACGGGTCCAGCTCTGCTCGGGCCCTGGGACCCCCTCCTGACTCATCTGTGTCCGGCTGGGGGTGCACCTGAGGCCAAGGGGTCCGTGATGGACAAGCACAGGGGGACTCACTGCCTGGGTCCCCCTGATTCTCTGTGGCTCTACCCGGTCACCCCAGCAGGAGAGAGCAGGTGCTGCCACCCCCATCCTCACACCTGGAGGCTCAGCCTGAGCTTCCCCTCCCCTCCTCCAGGAAGCCTTCCCTGAATGCCTCCCATCCCCCCAGGGCCCGCTGCCTCCTGTGCCCCCCCGGTGCCCCCAGGGGCTGCCCGGCGGAGGAACGGCAGGGACCTCACACCACTGCCCGGCTGGGCTCACTGCCCGCCGCCCCCTGGACCTCAGGCACTGTCTCCTCCCCCTGGGCATCTTGAGACTGAAATAGACGCCGCCTGTCAGCCCCCGGCATGGGGCGCCCTCGAGTCTGTAGGTGCCACCTTCAGCCCCTGCACCTGGGGGTGGGGCGCGCACCTGCATCTGAATGTACCCAAGGGGCCGGCCCTCCTCACCGGGGCGGGGAGCTGCCTCCCCTCCCCGCCGGGCTTGCAGGGCGGTGGGTCTGAGATGGGGTGGGCAGGGCTCCCTGAGACAGGTCTGCACCCCACCTGCCGAGGCCAGTGCCCTGCCCACACGGCCGGAGGGGCTCGCTGCTGCTTCAAGGCTCACACCCCCCCAGGGACCCCGATGGCTCAGCCTCACTGACCCAGGCTGGCACCCCCACACCACGTGCCTGCTGTGACAGCCCTCCCCTGGTGTCACCGAGGGTACTCCTCCGAGCCCAGCCGCCCTTCCCACGAGGCTGTGGGGGCTCTGGGAAACCCTGCCCCCCAGGATGGGCTGGGCCCTGAGATCAGCCGGTCCCTCCCTGTCACTCAGGAGGCCCTTCGGTGGGAGGGCCTGCCTCCAGCCCCAGGCAACACTCAAATGGCTCCCCCAGTTGGCAATTCATTATACTTCTATGACACTTTAGGGCAGGGGGACAGAGCAGCCACACAAATGGGGCAAACTGGCACTCAGCTACCCACTGTAACATGGGGAAGGCTGTGGTCCTATGCAGGTGAGCATGTGTGCATGCGTGTGAGTGCGGTGATGTGCAGGTGTGTGCTGTGTGGGTGTGTGCGGATACACACGTGTGCAGGTGTGCGCTGTGTGGGTGCGTGCGGATACACACGTGTGTGCAGGTGTGCATTGTGTTGTGTGCATGCGTGTGAGTGCGGTGATGTGCAGATGTGTGCAGGTGTGTGCTGTGTGGGTGTGTGCAGATACACACGTGTGCAGGGATGCACACGCGTGTGCATGTGTGCGCTGTGTGGGTGCGTGCGGATACACACGTGTGTGCAGGTGTGCATTGTGTTGGTGTGCGTGGATACACACGTGTGTGCAGGTGTGCATTGTGTTGGTGTGCGTGGATACACACGTGTGTGCATGTGTGCGCTGTGTGGGTGTGCGCAGATACACACGTGTGCAGGTGCGCACGGATACACACGGTGTCTGCTCGTGACGCTGACACGGGCAGGCGCTCACCTTCTTGCGCGCGGCCCTGTGCCCGGGCCTCGCCGGCAGCGGCAGCGCGGAGACCGCGAAGTCGTTCAGGTCCTCGCGGTCCCGGATCCGCGACTCCTTGATCAGGGAGTCCAGCTTCCGCTTGGCCATGTGCTCCGCCCGCTTCCGGTTGGGGGCGGCCTGCGGA